TTGTTCTGTTGTGGCAAATGATGCCCTCTGTCTAGTGCACAGTACCACTTCTGATGCCACCCAATATTTACTGGCTGCTGTAGCACATTTGATCAGTGCCTTAGGGGAGATCTGCCAGCAAGGACTTTGCTTCTCTTTCATGAGTTGTTGACTTAGGAAGAGTTGTTGTCTTAGGAATGAACTCTATTATGCATCATTTTGTCCTTATTTACTACTTGCCCAAACTCATCCTTGTGAAAATGTTATGATGTCACTAACTTCAAGTGTATTTCATAGCTCTGATCTTTTGTCGTGGTGTCAATCTGGAGGAAGGCGTAAAATAAAATAATTGTAATATGAAAATAGGGAAAAATCTATTCCTTAACGATATAAACACGTGAAGAATTTTACATTTGTTGGCTGTTATTCTTTAGCCCAGTTAGAGAAGTATGAAGGAACTGTTTGGTCAAGGTTAAAAAATAGTGCTGAGCGAGCTATAACCATGGGAACCAGTGCTTCTAGGTCTTCCTCAAATATGTTAAGAAAACATTCCATTCCAACCAGTTACAGTGAGCTGAATCATGAGGCATTTTGCTGGGTATAGGAGATTATTAAAATAAGACAAATAGATGGCAAAATAAACATTAATTTTGCTTGATAATTTTTCCGAAGTGTGCCTCCAGCAAAGCTCTGAATAAATGGCTTGACTGTTTTGATAGGATTTTTTGAAAGCAAATTCACATACCTTCATCCCTTTCCATGGTTTGGTGGACTCTGTTAATGCTCGAGGCCTGCTTTTTAGATGCAAGTCTCCTGCATGTGTTTTGGACACCAGTAAAGGCAGAGCTTTAAGAAGGAACAGTCTGGTGGCAGATAACGTAGGTTCATGTTGCTCCAGCTGGTGGAGTTGGAAGTCAGGGGGCCCTAAGACCTGAACACAAACCGACCTGTCCAGGTATCCTCTGCTTCCTGCTGTGTTTTGTTGTTTCTGTGTTTTCATGATAGTACTTGTCTGTCTGATGGAAAACCTGGCTTGGATAGTATCATGCAGCAGTATGGTGCTTGGAAATACTACCTACTCAATTAGAATAAAATCATCTAGTGAGTAGACTCTTGTTAGATACAATATTGCAAATGGGCCTTATTTGTATCCATAAAATAACTGCTGTCTTAGTCCTAGGTAGCATTTATAATAAATCTATTTCCCAATATGGAGTTTTTTTAGGGGCATTTTGGACAGTGGTGTTTCTCTAGTTCCCTTTCTGCCCAGGAATGTTTCCCTACTACAGATCAACAGCATGAACAGTATCTACAAACCTGATGTACACTTGAGAAACAGATGAGAAATGTCTTGGAAGAGGTTTTGGTGTAGACCTCTTGGTAGAGGTTTTGGTTTTTGGTGGTGTACCCTGTCCTGAATAGCAGTGGTGCTTATGAGTACGATCGCCAAAGCCAGGCTGCTGTGTTGGAATGACATTATCCTGGAAAAGAAATCCACAGGATGCTGTCCCTAATACTAAGCAGATTAAGTGCATGTAAGTGTTGCAATTGAAATTAACTGGCATGCTGACTACTGCATCACACAGTTAACGTAGGAAATCCTCTTGGCTTAATTGTACACTTACACGCTGTTTCTTGGTAGGCGCTTAAGTCACTCTTTAGAATGGATAAACAAAATTGGATTTTTGATTGGGGAACAGCTAACCCTTTTCAAGTTTTGGCTAGACTGCTGTGTTAGAGACTTGGTGCCTTGAATACTTTCAGAGAGAAGGCATGGGCAGTTTTCCTTAGGCCTTTGTCTAAATCAGGAGTCGAAGATGAGCTCTTGATCTCTTGCGATAGCAGTGATTGAATTTACAGTATAGGGCAGACTTATGCGCTTTGCTCTGAGCCAGGCATGATGAGAGAAAGGTTTTTGTGCTTCATGTGCCGTGGCCTCTGACAGGCATTGCCACTTTGAGTCTTAAAGCTTTCGTGTTTCAGATTTGGCTTGATAAATAAACAGAAAGACCCCAAACAAAACTTCCAGTGATGCTTTTACATACTGTGTGTGTTCTTTTTCCTCTGCTATTTTATATATAACCAGCTGACATACAGTTACTCTGGAGAACAGTACTTGTTTATCTCTATGTGGTATCTGAACTTCAGCCAGGTTATCAGCTTCCCTTTTTCCACTTGTTTTTAAATTCCTCTGACTATAGAGAAATAGTGTATTTTTAACAAAATATTTTTCACTTGCTAGATTGATTGTAGATTCAATCTATGCAATTTATAACTGTCCTTATGTAATTAGAGGTTTATTTTTTTAACCTGCATGCATGACACTGTAGAGAGCGTATCAGGTTAAGCCCGAATTTTTGTGAGTTAGGGATTGAGTTTATGACAAAACTCCTGTAATTGAACAAACTATGGAGCTTGGCTTCACCTTGAAGCAACTGCAAAATAATGTAATTTGGGCTGTCTGGCTGCTCCCAAAAAGGGAAGGTATAATTCCTCCTCATGCTTCCCCTGTTCTCTTTCCTCCCACCCCCTTTCCTGATCCCAAAGGTGTGGTTCCACCATCTTTCCTAGGTTAGCATTAGTGCTCAACCCTTGCAGAGCTTGTTTCTGTTTATTAACCTGACAGAAAACTCTCCTCTCTTTCCTGCCAGGGCTGCTTTCTGCTGAGTTAGTGAGGTCGTGCGGTTGACCCCTCAAACAGGTCTGTCCAGTGTCAAAGCTGGTGTGAGGTAGAAGAGGGAGCACACGGGCAGGAGGGTGATGAGGGAGGCACCCTGCCTTGCAGTAGTACTCCACTCTTCAGCAAACTCCTTGGACCTTCTGAGACCATAGCGTAGCCTTCTCACACAAAGCCTGGCACCTCATGTTTGCAGTGGACTAAGAGGGTTTGCAGAGACCCTTTATTGTGGCCCACATGAAGTGACTTAACTCGTTAAACCACATACATCTGATTTAGTAGTTCATGCTAATTAGAGCGGGAAACATAAGAAACTTCTAGCTTAAAAGTTATGCTGCTGAAAAAAAATAAGCCTGTGTGGGTGTTCTTACTTACGTTTAAGAACAGTCTATTCACTTAAATCCAATATTTTCATAAGGACATCAGTGAACTTTCACTTCTGAATGTGATTGGTGCAGTTTAAGTGTTGCCTGATTCCCTGACTGCTTTTCATGTTGTTGCATCCTGGGATTTGCAACCTTCCAAGCATGGCTGGTGGAACCCCGTGTGTATGTGTGCGTGCATATACTCCAGCCTAACGCAGCTGAGGTCCAGTGCCTTAGCCTAAGCTGTTGGTGGAGGTAGATTTAGCCTATGTCTGTACTAAAGCAATTACTTTTATTCGTTTTCACAAATCCAGGAGATGGTAGCAGTTTAAGCCACCACAACTGTTTGCAAAGTGAGTTTGTTTCAACACTGATTTAGATTAAACCACACAAATGTACTGTTGCCACTTCATACGGATTCCTTATGCATGATGAGATGTTGCTGGGTCTGGTGCTGTTTTACTACGAGAGGAGAAAATCTGGCGCTTTGTTAGTGCTGTGGGAAGTCACCCTGTACTTAGCTGCTCACCCTTTTTTGCCCCTCTCAAGTATAGCCTGGCTGGCCTCCCTGGGGCTGCTCTGGCAGGAGAAGACTGTTAAGGGCTGAGGTGAGTTATATGCGTATGTAAGCAAAGACGCTGTAAAAAAGCTTCTCCCTTGTACCCCGTGTTGTCTGGCACTTCAGTTATTTCAGCTAGAGTGAAGAAGTGTTTGTGGGTGGAGGATGATCTTGCGTATAGCTAGAACCAATCCCACAGAGAACTTGGGTACCAAGAAAGAGACAATGTACTAGAGTTTTATTTTGGGACTGCTTGACCTGGTTTCAGGCAAGATTTATCCTGTTTTTAGCATTTTGGATTTGAGATGTATCAGAATGAGAGCAAGATAGATGAAATGAATTTGGGAAAAATTGCCTGCGAAGAAATAGACCTTCATTTTTTTTGGCTGAACACCAGTCTGCAGAAAGCCTGCAATGTGGTCTCTAGAACAAAATTAGTTCTTATCTCTCAAACCATTACGGATTCCGCTGATTCCTTTGATGAATTAGGGTAATGGCTGATGAACAAGCTACCGAACCGAGAATGAAGTTGTGACTGTGCATTGTGCCGTGCACAGTCAGTACCTGTCAGTCTGTTCATTGTGCTGGGTAGTTTATTCTCTTAACCTGTGGTGAAGAGGAGGTAGCTTGTTGGAAGAGGGGCAGGCTCCCGTACGCTTACCCCAGGGGAAGGCCATGCGCATGGGCATTGACCACAAAGTTGTGAGGATACCGTAAGCATACACCACAGCTTATGCCATGGCAGCTTTTTCATCTACCCATAGCTTTAGTTTAATTGAACACCTTATGTGAGCTTAACCAAAAGAAAATGTTTAATGCTCCCTCTTTCTGCCAGCTGGGTGAGGAGAATGACTTACGGCATGTTTGAACTTTACTTACCGCTAACAGTGATGCTTTTTTTTTTTTTTTATTTTGAGGGAGAATGCAAAATCGTGGTGGGCAGAGCTCAGTGGGTTGGTTCCAGTGGTTTAAGTCAGCATGTTCTTGTTATAGAAAATGGAGAGCCAGTGGGATAAATTTTAAATCCAGCAGATGTTTAATGACAGGTTTCAGTAAACTTACAAACTCCTCAACTATGTAACACAATACCAGAGCCAGACACCATGGACAGTATATTTCAAAGAAGAATTTAGAAGTTGCCAGTGGAAGCTAAACTTTGAAAAACATGAAGTCATTCTTGAAAGGGTTCAGATTTGTTAAATGTCATGTGAACAGCCACCTATTTCTTGAAGCTAATGTTAGTATGCCTTGGTGGGGAAAATACTGTATAGATGTTAGCTTACATATGACAGAGGGAAGCTCCTCCTGCATGCAGACGGGGGAAAGTACTGTTGCTGGTTTAGTATGGCATTCTGCTTAATGCATGTTTCATGTTTTTATGTGAGTCTTAAATAAAACCTTTCGGATTTTTCTCTTTCAGAATCGTAATGAAATAAAAAATGGAGCGATTCTTCGATTAACAACATCTCCAGTGAGTTTTTGGTCTGTCCTTCTCTCCCTTCAAAGTGAAGATTTGATTAGTAAATAATTGTGAACCAATGCATGTATTTTTAAGCTTTAGCCGCACTGTATCCCACAATCCCCCCGCAAAGGAGGAGGATGGTGTGGTCACAAGATGACTGTATGTGGTGTTCTCTCTCTTTTTTTTTTTTTTTTTTGAGTTACGGGGGCAGGGGTGACGTTTGTTGACAGAGTTAGCACAACTGGGTGTTTTTTGTCTCTCACTTCTCTCCCACTGGGAACAGCTTTCATGTCCAAGCTACCTCTACTTCCCTGCTGGCATTGCAGCCTCACTCAAGTGCTCCTTTTCTGCCCCAGAGCTGAGAGCCAAGAGAAAAGGCTGGGAGTTGAATCATGGAGAGCTCTGCTGGGCAGCTCAGGTCAGAGCTTTCCTGCTCTCTGTGTTTCTATTGAGTGAGCAGCAACTGTAATGTTGAGTTTTTACTGTTTTCATTTGTTGTTTTTTTTCAACACCACTTCCTTGCCAGCTCCTCAAAAAGCATGGCAGGGTTGCTGGTTGCCTTGTAATGGCCTGTTTTCCTGCTACACATGCTGAAAGCCACTGTTAGTCCCAGAAGATGTATGTCTAAGGCAGCAGCAATCCAATTTCCTTGCTGTCAAATGTAGTGTGACATTAAAATGGTTTACCTCTTCACGGTGGTGGCTTAGCTTCTGCAGATTCAAAGCATTCTTATGGCCAAACTCTGCCACCCTGTACTGCAGCTCATTTGAACAGGCAAGATGGAGTTGTGGTGGCTTAACTTTTGGCTTCTGTTGAACCTGTTAAGAGTGGGGTCAGCTACTGCCATAAAGTGTGAAAACTTCTACCTAGAAGCCATGCAGAGATTATAGCTACGTTTTTGGATGGATCACTAGTAGATAGTAGAACCTAGGCTCAAAGTAGAGAAACGGAGAAGTATATGTTGTTACTAACTCACCAGGTTCTCCAGGCATCATGTGTGTTTCCACTCCTCACCAGCCTGGTTAACCGGCTGATGGCTTATATTTGGCTTACGAGATGACTGAATTTCTATGCAGGCTTGTGTGTAAGTGGAAATTGAAGAAGCTAATATGGAAACATACATGTGCCTCAAGTTTTTTTAAGAAGTGACTGCAATATTAATCTACAGGAGTGTAGCTTCTTAACAGAAAGCACTTCTAAGCAGCAGCCAGCTGGGCGAAGGCAAGAGATTTCCATTATCCTTCATCATCTTTTTCAGCAGTCGTTACATACAGAGCTTTACAGTCATAAGAATAAACAACAGTTTAAGACAATGGCTCTGTCAGAGTCTATGTGACTCCAGAGTCTCTCGCTGTACGTCACCAAAATAGCCTTGTACATGGGGAAACCACTTGCTGATGGAGTAAACCCCATTTCCTGGAACTTCCTCAGAAACAGACAGTCCCAGCACCAGCTTCTCCTAACCTTTGGGACTTCTTAAGAAAAGTAACCACTCCACTGAAAACAGGACTATCTACTACCCAGTCTTGGGATCTCATGAAATGAGAACAACATCTGTGGTTCATCAAGAACCAGTGTGGTCCAAACACACTGCATCATTCTTTTGTGTAACCGCAGCATGGAGTGACAGCATGAGATGACTCATGGAATCCTTCCCTGTCTCAAAATCCACAACCAGTTGCACCATGCAAAACTGAAGAGAGGCTGTGCTGTGACTGATCTATGGAAATGGCTGTCTGTTTGTCTTCATGATCAGTTGGTCAATTGGAAACGTGACCTACAAACACAAAAGACAAATTTTGGATTTGTAACACTTTCTGCTAATGCCTGTGGGGAGGAAGGTGGGGTGTTGCGTAAGACACTCTTCTGCTTGTTCTGTTTCTTTGGTGATTTGCCTCAGGGTCAGTCAACCAAGACAGGGGTCCTTAAGATATTGAGGTATTACCTGTTACCTACCAAGTTATGGACCACTCTGGCACTGGCCTGCAGTTCCAAGTGACTCAGCCATCCTGTTATAAGAAGGCCAGTCTACTTTCTAGTCTTCAGTATTGATATTTATCCCTGAAAAAAGTTTTTGTTAACTTTTCCCCAGAATCAGGGAAATGGCTTGGAAGGAGGTTTTGAAAGACTGGATTGTTTTTTATCAGATTAGAGAGTATTTGTGCTCTTAAAATAGACATAAAATGAAGTTCTGCATGTTTCCACCCTACAATAGTATCTTTGCTTTTAAGGTACTGTTGAAGTGGTCATTATAGAGGTACCTAAAATAGATAGATTAAAGGCTTCCAAGCTGTAGTTTTTAGACTGGTGACCCACACAAAGCTTGTCATTTACCCTGAAAAGCTACGAGGCCATCTGTTTCCATTTTTCCTCTGATATTTTATATGAGAGCAGCAGTAGTTGGAGGAGATAATGTGAAGAACAGACTGCATGATATCCTCCTGCAAAATGGGAAGGATGCTGTCCTAGCTGCTAGGGCTAGATGGAAAATGTTTTTCTCATCCTGTAAAAATATTAAGATTCTGAAAGTTTTCCCCCTTCTTTATCTATTCTACATCAGTGTAAAGCTGAAACTGTCTCCCCCTTCCCACAGAAAAAGAAAATCATACCACAGTGCTTTTTGAAGAGGTGTAGGAGTTAGAAAAGGAGGAGAGGAAGATTGAGAGAAATTAAGAGGAGCCATGTACAGATTATGCAGTGTCTGGGATGTGTCAGAGAGGCCTGAGCTGCCTACTTCCTGGCTATTGTGGCCAAAATAAATCTGTCCTGAACTTCACAAGCCTTTTGAGGAAACTTTTTTTCCTTGAAGAGTCGAGAGGAATAATTTTGACCAGTTCTGAAGGCTGCATAAACTTTTAAAATGCTTTTCGAGTTCTTGATTTTCATACAACTTATTACCATGACAGCCAGTAGTCTGGCTATACCCATGCACAGTTGTATGCCATGAGTCATTGAAAATTGGGTAAGAAGGATAAGATACGATCTTTTTGAGTTCTGTTGTCATTAGCCTCAAATTGTGTGTTGCTCATGTACCCAGTACAGCTACTATTAAAGATTAAAAGGAAAGAGAGGAAAAAAAGTAGTTTTATCTAGAAGTAGTAAAACAGCATTTTTGGTTGGATTTTTAAAATTAAGATTTGAAATCTAATTCCCCAAATCTGCATGTTAAATACTTTATCTCCTTTAATCTCAGGTTTAGATTGTTTTGTGTGCGTGTATAGGGATCTTTTTCTGAAAATTCTAATATTGCTAATATTGCAAGGGCAAAAATGCAGTTATGGTGCGCTGCTAAATCTATTATAAATGCTTGCCTTCAGAGGTTTACAACATGTCTATTTTAAACCTCTTTGTGTTAAAACTTAGCAAACGCCAGTTGCTAGGCCTGGTGGGAATTTGAACTGCCTCTTTGTTTCCGTAGGTCTGTATGCTAAGTTTGTGCTATTCTCTGAAAGGCTGTTTTTTTCTAAACAATGCTATTTTTTTCCTCTATAAACCACTCACCACACAGACACTCTGTTTCCTAGGTAACTTGAGTACAGATTGAATTTCTCTCATATTATCTTTGTTCCTATATCATCTTTCTTATTTATTTTTAACCTCTCCTGTCATCTTTCTTAACAATTCTTTGTGCTGTTGTGTATTTTCGCAGTTTTCTGTGACCCGTATTCCCGCTTTGTCCATTTGCATTTCTGAAGGGACTCATCAAAAGTTTCTTATGCAACTTTTCTTTGTATTTGAACATACGTAACAGTTGAAATGTCAGGCTGCTGTTGTCTCTTTTGTGATACCCATATTCCAGTGGATGGTAGGTAGGTGTATAAATGAGCTGTAATTGCTCCCAAGTGTGAGACTGTTCCGAAAGGACAGTTGTGTCCTGCAACGCAACAAGCAGGGTCCAACCTTTTAGTGCACGCAACTGCAGGTTTCCTCCGATCGGATCCTGCAAATCTCCGTTCAGATGACTAATTGTTTTGAAAGGATGCTAAAATATGGGGAAAATTAAACTCAAGGAACTGCCCTCTGTATTTATTTATTTTATTTAATAATTTTCAGACGGAACTGATTATTTGAGCACTCACTGTTTATTTGAAAGTAGCTTCTTGGGTACCTAAAAAACATGGCTTGCTCATGAGCTGTATACCTTTAAAAGAGGAGTCAATGGGTAGCTTTTTCTAATGTGGTATTTATGGTGCCCAGTCATTTAATTTGTGCATGCCTTTTTTTTGGTACCCTGGTTGGAGACAGTTGAGTTCTCAAATCTGTAGGTTGTTGTAGGCAACTGTATTAGCATTTCCAGCATGAGCAATCATGTAAATAGGTGTGTTCATTAATAGAGATCATAGTGTTTTCTCTGGATGCTTTTACAGATGTGAGCAATGTGGTTTTTTTGTTTCTGTGTGATCTACACAGACAAGGAAGTGTAGAGTTTTTTCACCCTGTTTCGACTTATGCATCTGAACCCTCTATCTTTGAGTAAAAGTTTGAGGATCTAGTCTATAATCTTTCATCTACAATTGCTTTAATATGTGCTCAACTGTCCTAATGTTCTTGAGGTTCAGTAAATGCATGAATATTTGCAGGTCTAGCCTATGATTGTGATTATGTTTATCATGTGATGGTGAATTAGTTATTATTGAACCTTATACCAGGAACACTGACCATGGAAATGGTCGATAAGCCACTTTTATATCTGTCTGCTCATAGTACAAGAGGAAGATTTAGGAAGTAGTGTTGGTTTTTGTTTTTTTTCTAGGTAAAGGTTGAAGCTCCTGCTGTCAGATTTCCAAAGGCATATTTTGAATAGTAAGCGAAAAGTATTGTTTCAAATGCAGCAAGAGGAAAAACTGCTTCTCAAACATTCATAAGTGGCTACTGATTTCATAAACTTATCTTGGGCATATTTACATAATACATATGGCTATGCATCTGTAATGCTGTTATCATTGATTTAGTACACGACTCTAGACGTGACCATTTCCCTGTTTCTGTTTCTGTCCCCTTAATTGTGGATAGTGATTGCGTAGGACTACTCTAATACATTTGTACAGGGCTTTAGATGTAGAAATTGTGCTTGAGTATCAATATAAAAACGTTGACAATTAATGTCTTTACTAATTAAAATGGAATCTCATTGTATACCTGGCGTCAGAGGCTAGTCAGTCTTGCTGGATCTGTCGAAGCTGGTTTGCGTGTAATGCTGATTATGTAACATATCCACTCCTCCATTGCTTTCTGACGTATATGCAGTTGCAGGTGAAGTGGCAGTAACAAGCCAGGAAAAGGCAGAAGTTTAAACCACCATGGTGTTTCAATACTGAGTAGTTTAAATTAAACCACAGAAATGCACCTGTTTGGGTAGTACAAAACTGCATCTGGTCATTACTGATGATCTGTATGCCCTTTTTCTAGCAGAATATTGACTAATGTGACTAACTTATCTACAGGGATGACCAAAATACTTGTATTTTATTTGCTTTTTATAAAGGATGAAGAAAACTGATTACATAATGGCAGAACAGCAATTTAAATCAATGCTCTAAATTTCTTCCGTAGCACATTAATGTTTGATAGCGGTTGCATTTGGAATGTGTGTCCTCCCTCCTGTCCCTGCTCACTGTATTTTGTAGTCAGTACAGAAAGGCTGCGTAGGTCTGTGTAATAAGTTGCTTTCAAAGTTTGCGCAAAGTATTCGTTGGCAAAGAAATGATAATTTGATCAGTAGAATCCCTTGTTAGGATGATCTTGGCATTCCTAACCTCCAAATGGCTATTTGAGTCTCTAAGCAAGTCACATCTTGGATTTAGGTCATTAGTTTTCTTTTTAAGCTGACAATCTCATCAAGCTGCTCCTTTAAAGCACTGCTACTCCCTGAGGGCAACCTTTCTGCCTGTCCTTGGAGCAAGTCATTTAAGACTAGACATGCAGCTTATGCCTCTTGACAGCCTTTTGAAACGCTGGGGCTTCAATAGCACACGTTTTACAAGCTTCCTGTCTTCCTTCCTTTCTAAACAGGAGAGCAGTTACTGCTGTCTTTCATTTACTTGGAGCCGTGTTTCTGTTAATTCCCTCGTAACAGTTCTCAGCTGGGCAGGTTTTAGATATTTATTTATTTTTACCTGAATGATATTTCAGTAAAAGCAGAGACATGGCAGCTGGCTCTGCTGGTGTTTTAATGAGCTATGCTCTCTGTCCATCCACTGATGGATTGTAAATCATTAAAATAGCTCCCTGGTAAGCACTCAGAGCATATTTCATCTGGGTTTCATTTTTTAATGCAGTCATAAGTGAGCTGTACATTCCATAAGCATATATGAGTGCTATGGCAACAAGAACTAGGATGCTTGTGAGAACTGCATGGTGTTCCTGAAGCACTATTTTCACCCATCGGGCACTTGAGATGACAACAGCCAACATTACTTTTGGCCATGTTTCCAGTGAGAGACATACCAGCGCTCTTGCTGAGACAAATACTTCTTTACTCCCTTAATCAAGATCTGCTCCGCCATTGTCAGTTCTTTTCTCTTCC